TGTCCAACTCATGTACTGGTTACTGAGATAAGCAATATTCTTAAATAGCAGGCTCAAAAAAATACCTTATAACCAATATTACTTATTTGCCTGGATCTTCCACCCCCCGAAGAATGAGGTGTGGTATTTTAGCAGGTGACACTATTAAATTTACTGCTGATTTTGTCTCGAATATAATCTAAACTGAAAAGTCCTTATTTAATTAATCAAAAAGTAAATAAGCACTATTATTCGGCCCAAATATCGGAATTGCGTATTAGCTCCATAAAATTCTTTCCATTCCTTAAATGCGAGAATTATAAAAATAGTAATATTTTGGCCGTATTTTCTGCATTTCATTTACTTAGGAATACTATTATCTATTTGCGATATGAATATTTTTTGAAACGCTCAGTACTTCATCAACTTAACAAACCTGGGTCGCTTAAAGTGATTTAATGAGATTTATTCACAATGATATGAATATGCCTCACGGTGCCACTGAATTTCAAATATCCTTGTGGACTGCAGTTTCGACCTCGTCTCATACGCTGTAGGCGAGGTCGAAAATCCAGTCCGCTCTTGATTTGAAAACTTTTTAGGGGCAAAGTAGAGTGAACTTAAATGACAGTGTGAAGCCTTCTTATAAAATTAAGGTAGAGTCTAACCTTTAGTTTCTAAATTACTTTAAGGGATCTGTAGTGACTAAGTTATTACTGCGAATAAAAGTCGGATATCGAGGAATCTCTTGTTTTATAATTGTTGGGCTTACTTCCATTTCGAGTGAAAGTTTTTGATGAAGATATTCGAAGGTCGATTCCACCAGAAGACGACGGCGGATTCCTTTTGACCATCTGTCAGTTGTCTTTACTGGAACATGCTATTCCGGTGAAAAGGTGCTAAGCTTTCGTCCGTCATATGTCGAACGTCATTAGAACAAGTTATCATCGTTACAACCAAATTCGAGGTAACGGGTCAAGAAAATTTACTGGCAAATCCCTAAAAAGTAGTATATATACTCTAAATCTGGCCTCTTTGATCAAGTATGAAGTGATTTAATTAGTTAAGGTCATATTTCAACTTCGATGCATGTTAGTGTGTCTGTCTATGTATGTGTATGTGCCTATTTGTGTTCGCTTATGCACTAAACCAGCAGTGATGGCTCAAAGTAATTACGAAAGCAAAAATAACGTCTGTTCTTGGCCATCAAGATTTGATGGCAACTATCTCCTCCTTTCTAAAGGTCTGTTATAACGATCACTCCGATTGCGCAAGGTCGGACACACGTCTGGTTATGTTGATAAGCCTTTTTAAAATGACTATGTTTATAACCAAAACAAGAAAGACGAATTGAGTCGCCTCCTTTTTGCAGGCGGCCCAACAACCTCTATCCTTGAGTCTATTAATTAAGCACAAGTAATTCT